GTTAACAGAATATTGATTCCAAAGTTGTATTGATAAATGAATGAAACCAGGATTGTGTTTCCAATGACATTATATCTAGTGTTCATCCGTAAATGAGTTTTAGGTACTTTAGTATTTGCAAATTATAGGCGAGTTGACTATATCTAACACTTCTCAGTCTAGTTAGATAATTTCCACTCAATTCCTCTCGATCTTCGAGTGCTAACAAATTCTACCCTCGCGTACAATGATATTGAAGTTCTCTCTCTCTTACTTGACCTTTAATGCCATTTTATCAGATTAACTCCACTTTTTCCCAATTATCTCTTTTCTCTCGAACAATTGTTAGATATAGGCTTACTCTAATTCGTGCACTCATTAGAACAAATGAATAACGAAAGCTGAGTTAAATATTGCAAATACGATTTACCTTCTACTCGTTCTATGAATTCACATTTAGATTACCATCCTAGTTCCCACAACCCTAGTTGTGGTGTTTAGCCACTCATGATTTCTATTGAACAAACATAGATTTGTAATGAAAATATTAAGAGAAGTTACTTACGAAAATATTCAAATTCAATGAACGCTTGATATTCAGAATACTGGAATCCAACTTCGAAGCTTTGTTTGATGTTAATCAATGAAAACTAAAGTTAAGAATATTTCAAACTGAGTCAATCGTTCCAGATGTGTCGAGATAAAAACAAAATACGACCTAATTAATCAAATAGTTTGTGTAAAAAGAGTCCTACTCTAAGTAGGACTGAAATGTCGGGCAGCTTCATGGATGACCTGACGGTCTTTCATGAGCTTCACGGTCCGTGAAACCTGCAGTGGCGTCATGGTCTTTATTGACCTTTAGTTTGCAACCTAAGAATATTCATGCCCACTGCTTCAGCACCACGAGCATCTTCACAGCTCGTCAGGAGGACCATTGCCTATCTAGGGCTCCATGGTCTTCATATGGAACTTAGTGATCAAAATCCCAATGTCCAGCTTCACTGCTTCATCACCACGGGCTGTGTGACGACCTATCAATACAACCATGGCCCTTACGAGTCTCCGTGGTGCTTGTTCTAGCCTGCATTTTCTTCTTTTCATTTCTCTTTCATAGCCACATGTTTTACTTGTGCAAACATCACCAAACACATCATATCCACATAAATACACTCGATTCTTTCAATAATCCTTAGTTTTGAGCATCAAATGTGCTAAGATATCATGGCACATCATCACCTACCATAGAGAAATCATCCATGAACACTTCCAAAGTGACCTTTACCATGTCCGAGAAGAACATCATACACCTTTGGAAAGTTGTTGGTGCATTACACAATCCAAATGGCATGCATTTGAATGCGAAGGTACCATAAGTACATGTAAAAGTGGTTTTCTCTTCATCTTCCGATGCAATTGATATCTGGTTATACCCAGAGTATCAATCTAAGAAGCAATACCAACCTTTACCAGCCAACCTATAGAACATCTGATCCATGAGTAGCATTGGTCGTGGTCCTTCTAGGTCCACTTATTCAGCTTCCTTTAATCCATGCACACTCGCCAACCTGTGACTGGTCTTTGCGGAATCAACTCATTCTTCGCATTTCCAACCACTTTCATCAACCCTTCTTGGGCACACATTGCATTGGGCTAACCCAATGATTATCATAAATGGGGTACAACAACCCTAGATCCAACAACTTTATAATTTCCTTTTTGACCACCTCTTGTATTGGTGGTGTCACGACTCGAGGGTACACCTTAGATGTAACATGGCATACAGGACCCCAAAAAGCCCCATACAAGCCACTTAACATTCATAACATAAGAAATAGAACAAAAGAATTAAAAACAACATTTCAAGTCCAAAATATTTTATAAAAGTAAAGCGGAAGTTTAAACACTTGTCTCAATACACATCTAATACAATATAATGAAATTGGGCCTAGCCCATACATAATGTCCAATACTGAAAATAAGGAAAAAGACAGTAAACAATGGTAGTCCTGCCTCGAAGCATGAGGACTCACCAAAGATTGAGAACCTTGATATCAACAACTAGCCACGAAACTGAGAACCTTGACTGTTCGACCCTACATTTGGGAAATGTAGGCAATAGTATGCGTTAGTACAAAACAATGTACCAAGTATGATAGCCATGCATAAAACATTTAATTATGCTAAAAAGGGATATTTTCATAAGTATGCAATGATCAAAGTAAAACATGTATTTTGGGAGTTAAAAACCATAAGTCATAAAACCATGATCAATGCAAGTGAATATCATCATTGAACACATGTGAGATACTTCTTGACGTAACCTTAGTTCATTATTATAGTGGGAATGAGCCTTAACCGACATAAAGACCATGTGAGCTATAACATGATCCTCGGTGTCTCCCACACCGAAAAGGGTTGTACTACTTCCCAAGGTAGAACCATGAATTTCTAGCTTAAGTGGATCTACTAGCTAATGTCTATCTATAAATTCATTCTATGGGGGCACATAGGTAAGGGATAAGGATATTGCTTCAAGAAACCCGGCCTCAACTCAAGAGAGCTTCCATCACAAAATCCTCTCGGTGCTAAGCATAAATTCCCACGGAGTAGTTATTAAGCCTTGACTTATCTTATGTTTAAAGGACATGGGTAGTCGCCCCTTGTATTATCATATGATAGCTCCTTAAACCATGCATGGGAAAATATTTCACCGTCCATGATCTTTTCATACTAGCTCACAAATCGCCTCTTGCCTCTTTATTAGATTAGTTTCTTAGAATTGATTCATTTTAGGTGAGAAAGCCTTTCAATCCTAAGAACCCTTATTATGTGAGAATACCTTTCACAATCATGCTTCCATGTGTATATGAGCAAATCCTTTCAACAACACAACGTCAACATCATCATTGACACTTTACTCTCAAAGCATCCTTAAACATTTGCATAGATTTCATAAGAACATGCATAATTTCATAATTCACCTTTCAAGGTTCAAAACCCAATTTCAATCATCAACATCCAGAAATCATGGGTTAGATATGGGCTCATAGAAATTCATCATAAAATCATATAATTATATCAATTCGTGCTTGATTTCATAAAAATGTTTTCTTTCATAATCTAAACCCACATTATATCATCATAATTGGAAAATATGGGATTTACATGAGTTCATGGGGAATCATCATAACACCATAGCATTTCATCAATTCATGTATAAGAGATCATAATTCAATCATTTAAATAAACATTGAAGAGAGCCGATGGCAACTGAAGAAAACCCTAACTCAATTGGGGATTTCTAACTTTGTAAATAGGAGAATTTGACAACTCCATGGATGGAAGGAATCCATGGTTGAAAACTATCATACCTTGATGCCAAAAACTTGAAAGCAATGGAGGATTTGGAGACTTAATCTTGAAACCCTAGCTTTCTTCTTCAATTTCTAGAGAGAGAAATATTTGAGATGAGGATCTTGATCTTCTTTTGGATATTTAAGAGAATGATTTTAGTTTGAGTGATTTGGGGGTTTAGAATCATTATATAGGACTTTGGGTAGAAGGAAAAACAACTTAGTATTGAGTTAAAAGAATTGGGAAAAGACCCAATAACCCTTGACTTAAAAACTGCCGAATTGGCTCACTGGAAGCCCATCATGGGCCGTCATGACCACCACAGCCCGTCAAATTGGTCATGAAGAAATTCAGACTGACAGTGCTTCATTATTTTGGGCTTAAATTTTTACTCCGAGATGGAAATTGGGCAAATTTGGTGGCGTTGGAAAGAGGACTCAAAGACCTTTAATTTGATATGTAATGGGCCACCTAATTCACTTTGTGCTAAAAGATATGATCGTTTGAAGTTTACCCTAACTCTAAGTCTAATGAAAACCCTTCACGGGCAGTTGTGATGCCCGTGGCCCTTGACCAGTAGCTAGGGCTATTGTGATACCCGTGCCCCTTGACCAGTAGCTAGGGGAGGACCCCTACTTACTTGACCCCCTTCATGACCACTTTGACGGGCCGTCTAGGCATCCGTCAAAGTGAAATTACATGGGGATGGTTCTGGAAATTTACCACGAGCCCCTCGATGGACCGTGGTCCCCTTCACGGCCCATCTAGGGCTCTGTGGAGGGTTCCATAGTCCACTTTTTGGGCTTGTGAGTTTCCCACTTGACCCATTCTAGCCTTTCTAGAATCCGAGGTGTTAGATTATCTCCCCCTTGGGAACATTCGTCCTCGAATGCAACTCAAACTAACATGAAAGTGTAAGAGAGAACCTAGAAACCCAATTATTAATGAAACTTCATCTAAATGCACATAAACAAGGAGGAACCTCGACTCCAAGCTAGAACATATTCAAAACATCATAAGGAAAATAGGAACTAGACCTAGTAGCCCAACATGAAAGCAATCATATAAATGCACATATCAAAGGAGGAAACTTAATCTCCAAGCTAAAGCAAAGTTTTAAAATAATCTTTTCACAAGACAAACATGCAAGATCATACTCAAATGGACATAATCATGAAGAAATAAATTAAACTAAATCATATATTTGAAAAATCAAATTTTCCATGAGCATGCATGCATGAGGAAACATGAGGATGACTAAGACACTCGAATCCTAAAGAGTGAACCATGAGGAGCTAAGACATCAAGCTAGACTCGAAGATAAAAGAAAGAGGTAGGGATACTAAGAAGTCACATTGCCTCCAACTTTCACTCATCTAACCATAACAAGTAATTCTTCCAAAACCAAAATAGTTCTACTCACGTACCAACCATGAAGCACACTATCTCCCCCTTAGGAGCAAACCCAACTAGGCTTTTCAAATCCATCTCCCTCAATCTAAACATAACACCAATGTCTTAACAACAACTAAACCATTGATACAAATAGACACCTAAGAATTTCCACAAGGATTTTCATGGACTACTGCAAGCATAATCACCATACATGGAGTTCTTACCATATCAAACAAAACACTCAACATCAAGCAATACGTAACCATAAGCTACAGCAAAAACCTTAACTTACCAATCACCGCATCCCGGGAACCCTTATGATCTTGTCGAGTTTGAAGAGCATAAAACCTATCTTGTTTCCAACCACCAATAGGATCGGAGGAAGGGTAAGGTTGAGCCCGTCGAGGACTATCTCCTTCATTTCTAGCAACCGAAGGACAATTCCTTATTTTATGATCTATCTTATGACAACCAAAACAAACATTAGAACCGGCTAGACATTTACCCTCATGTCTTCTCCACTCCCTACACTCAGGCCATATTTGCTCACTACCACCTTTACCTTGAGAACGAATTTCTCTATCTGACCTTGAATGTGAAGATTCACCATCATCCCTTCTTGCCCTCTTTGAATCCCTAGTTTTCTCCTTAAGTTTTTCTTCTTCTATTTGTTGTGCATGCATCATCAACCGGGAAACATCCATATGCTTAAAAAGCATGGTAGTTAGGCATTCTTTGACCACTAATTCAGAAGTACCCGACACAAACTTACTCATCCTTCCCTTAGATCGACAACCATAGTTGGAGCATATTTAGACAATTGCTTGAATTTCACATCATACTCCTTCACACTCATATCTCCTTGGTGAAGGTTAATGAACTCTAGTACCTTTGCCTCTCTCATCTCAATGAGAAAAGAACCTATCAAGAAAAGCAACCTTAAATTTCTCCCAATTAAGAGGACCCTCATATAACACCCTATTTTCTTTCCATCAGTTGAACCAAACCTGAGCAACACCCTTAAGTTGATAAGCGACCAATTTTTCCTTTTCCAGTGGCATCACTCCTATGATCATCAACACTTTATACACCTCATCAATGAACTTTTGAGGATATTCCTCAACATTAGACCTATGAATTTCCGGAGGATTCATTCTAATAAAGTCCCTCACCCTTGTTGCCGCCTTACCTATCCTTGGGTTCATAGGAGCCACAACCTCTCTATTAACTTGAGCCATCATACCTTGGGCCAATGCATGAAATGTGGCTCGAAACTCATCATTAGTAACTTGCTCGGCCAAAGGGTTGAAGGACACTTGGGGAACCTCTTGTCTCACATTCTCACGAACATTCCTATTACTTCTCCCGAGATTTCTTCATGGAGGCATCTTCTGAAAAAGTACAAATAGGGGTTAGGAGAGAAAGAAACCTCGAGTTACACTCTATCACACGACTTTAGAGTAATGAAAGAAGTGAAGTTTCCTAAACATCTTATAGCCTCTTATTCATAAATGTGGTGCGCTTCACAGTCATAACAAAAATCTACTTGACGTGGCTTATGAGACATCCTATAAACATTCTAAACCTTGTGCTCCAATTGCCAAGTTTGTCACGACTCAAGGGTACACCCTAGATGTAACATGGCGTATAGGACATCGAGAGGCCCCATACAATCCACTTAGCATTCATAACATAAGAAATAGAACAAAGGAATTAAAAACAATATTTCAAGTCCAAAACATTTTATAAAAGTAAAACGGAAGTCTAAACACTTTGTCTCAATAGCCATCTAATACAATTGAATGAAATCGGGCGTAACCCATACATCATGTCCAAAACTGAATATAAGGAAGAAGACTGAAAACAATGAAAGTCCATCCTCGAAGCATGAAGACTCACCAAAGCTAGGGACCCTCGATATCAACCACTAGCCATGAAATTGAGAACCCTGGTTGTCGGACCCTACATTTGGGGAAATGTAGGCAAAAATACGCGTAAGTACAAAACAATGTACCAAGTATGATAGCCATGTATAAAACATTTAAATCATGCTAAAATGGGACATTTTCATAAGTATGCAATGATCAAGCTAAAACATATATTTTGGGAGTTAGAAACCATATGTCATAAAACCATGATCAATGCAAGTCAACATCATATTTGAACACACGTGTGATACTTCTAAAAGTAACCTTGGTTCATTATTATTGTGGGAATGAGCCTTAACCGACATAAATACCATGTGAGCTACTATAACATGATCCCCCGCTGTCTCCCACACCGAAAAAGGTTGTCCTACTTGCCAAGGTAGAACCATGAACTTCTAGCTTAAGTGGATCCACTAGCTAATGTCTATCTAGACAATCATCCTATAGGGGAACATAGGTAAGGGATAAGGAGATTGCTTCTAGAAACCCAACCTCAACTCAAGAGAGCTTCAATCTCAAAATCCTCTTGGTGCTAAGCATAAATTCCCACGAAGTAGTTATTAAGTCTTGACTTATCTTATCTTTAAATGACATGGGTAGTTGCCCCTTGTCTTATCATAGGATAGCTTCTTAGACCATGCGTGAGAAAACCTTTCACCATCCATGATCTTTTCATACTAGCTCATAAAGGAACATGGGTAATTGCCTCTTGCTTATTCATTATATTAGCTTCTTAGCATTGGTTCATTTTAGGTGAGAAAACCTTTCAACCCTAAGAACCCTTATTATGTGATAATACCTTTCACAATCATGCTTTAATGTGTTTATGAGGAAATCCTTTCAACAACACAACATCAACATCATCATTGATACTTTACTCTCAAAGCATCCTTAAAACATTTGCATAGATTTCATAAGAACATGCCTAATTTCATAATTCACCTTTCAAGGTTCAAAACCCACTTTCAATCATCAACATCTAAAAATGATGGGTTAGATATAGGTTCATATAATTCATCATAAAATCATATAATTCTATCAAATCATGCTTGATTTCATAAAATCCTTCTTTCATAATCCAAACCCACATTATATCATCATAATTAGAAAATATGGGATTTACATGGGTTCATGGGGAATCATCATAACAACCATAGTTTTTCATCAATTCATGCATAAGAGATCATAATTCAATCATTTAAATCAACATTGAAGAGAACCCATGGCAATTGAAGAAAACCCTAACTCAATTGGGGATTTCTAACTTTGAAAATAGGAGAATTTGGGATTTCCATGGATGGAAGGAATCCATGGATGAAAACTATCATACCTTGATGCCAAAAGTTTGAAAGCAATGAAGGATTTGGAGACTTGATCTTGAAACCCTAGCTTTCTTCTTCAATTTCTAGAGAGAGAAATATTTGAGATGAAGAACTTGATCTTCTTTTGGAAATTTAAGAGAATGAATTTAGTTTGGGTGATTTGGAGGTTTAGAATCATTATATAGGGCTTTGGGTAGAAGGAAAAATGACTTAGTATTGAGTTAAAATAATTGGGAAAAGACCCAATAACCCCTGATTTAAAAGGGAAAAATTACATGGATTGGTACTTTTTAATAAATAATTACTGATTTTAGCGATACTTTTTATTTTTTTACCATTTATAGCAATATAGAACAATACTATGTTAAATCTGTAATATGTATTAAAAGTGAATTATGTATGCAATATTTATGTATTGTAACTATTTTTAAAAATATATTATGCTTATTTGGTAAGAAATTGACACATTGAATTATAAGTGTATTAAAATGTGTGATAAATGTATTATCCATCTATAAAACTTGTATTATATGTGAATAATAAACTATTCTTTGTAATATGTATTAAAATTGTATTATAAATGTATTGAAAGTGATAAAGTGAAAAAAAACGTTATTGCTATAAATGGTAAATATTTTCTTAATATAGTATATTTATGTAAGTTTTCCATTTAAAAGCTGCCGAATTGGCTCACTGGAAGCCCATCATGGGTTGTCATTACCACCACTGCCTGTCTAACGGGTCGTGAAGAAATTTTGAATGATATTGCTTCACTATTTCGGGCATAAATTTTTACTCCAAGATGGAAATTGGGCAAACTCGGTGGCGTTGGAAAGAGGACTTAGAGACCTTCGATTTCATAGGTCATGAGAAACCTAATTCATTTTGTGCTAAAATATATGATCGTTTGAAGTTTACCCTAAACTCTAAGTCTAATGAAAACCTTTCACAGACGACCTCACGGTCCGTGTGGGGCTTCACGGGCCGTTGTGATGCCTGTGTTCCTTGACCAGTAGCTAGGGGAGGACCCCTACTTATTTGACCCCGTTCTTACCACGGGCCATCTAGGCGTCCGTCAAAGTGAAGCTTACATGGGGAAGGTTATGGAAACCTACCACGAGCTCCTCAACGGACCGTAGTCCCCTTCACGGCTCGTCTAGGGCTTCGTGGAGGGTTCTATAATCCATTTTTGGGTTTGTGAGTTTCCCACTTGACCTATTTCTAGCCTTTCCTGAATCTGAGGTGGTACTGGTGGGTTTAATTTGCTCTGGTGCTCTATACTCAGTCTGAAATCCTTCTCAAGTTGGATTTTATGAGTACAAATACCAGGGGGTATTCCAATGATATCAACAATGGTCCAACCAATCTCCCTTTTGTACCTTATCAAGACTTCGACTACAACTTGCACCTGTTCATAATTCAAATCTGCAGCCAAAATTACTGGCAATGTGTTATTAGTACTCAAAAACACATACCTTAGGTGTCTGGGTAACTGTTAGCTCAAGTATATGTGGTTCCTCAATAGATGGCTTTGCTGGAGGATTTTACTTGTTTTTCAGGTCTAAGTCTAATTTATGTGGAGCATAAGTATGTGACCCCATGCGTAGAAGAGAATTTAGAGTCTTCACACAATCATCTCGAAATTCTTCTTCAAAATTCATTATCACGGATGCCAATGTTTCCACAACGAACCTTTCCTCAATAGCAGCTTCATATCCCATTCATCAATGACCTCTATTACAAACACCACATTCATGTCATGTGGTTGCTTCATATACCTGCATGTTCTAAATTTTACCTCTTTATTGTTGAGTCTGAATTTCATCTCTCCACTCTCAACATAAACTAAAGCTCTCCTTGTGGCGAAAAATGGCCTCCCTATATTATGGGAACCTCAAATCTACCTCACAATCCAAGATCACGAAGTCGGCCAGAAAAACAAAGTTGTCCACTTTTACGAGTACATCACATAAAATACCAACAGATCGCTTCACTGACCTATCTGCCATCATCAACCTCATCGCCGTAGGTTTTGGAACAGCCAAACCCAATTGCTTATATATAGCTAGAGGCATCATATTGATGCTCTCCCCTAGATCAGATAAGGCTTTTGCAAAATCGAATGCACTGATGCTGCATGGTATAGCGAAAGCACATGTGTCCTCTTTTTTTCTGCACAAGGGACCTTGTAGCGATGGCACTATATTGATGGACATTGTTGGTCAGTTTAAAACTTAAAGCTCTCTTCTTTGTCACCACTTCTTTCTTGAACTTTGCATATCCTGGCATCTGCTCCAGAGCTTCTACCAATGGGATGTTCACTGATAACTGCCTTAACATGGTTATACACTTTGCAAACTTCCCATCTTCCGTTTTCTTCTTGAGTCCTTGCGGGAATAGCAGAGGTGGTCTTGGTATTTGCTGTAAAGGCAAAGTTTACTCTACTTCTGTTTC